ATTATATGAAATATAATTTTTATTTCTATAATCGTATTACATTTCATATTAAGGGGATTCGATACTGTGATTTTCTGTCATTGTCTAGCACATGCGCGTCATAGGATTTTWGACGTCTTTTTGCCAAACGTACCGATGGCTTTAGTGAAGCGATAAGAATTATAAAAACAGATTTGAATTTTTCATCAAATCTACTTGAAATCGACTTTCCCTCATTTTTGATTTTTTGATTTTAACTTCAACAACAATTTTTTAATATAACATAACATTAATTGGAATTGGAAGACAATATCAAAAATATTGAAAAGTCGATCTCAAGTAGTCTTGACAACAAATTCAAATCTATTTTTATAATTCTTGTTGCTTCACTATTTCCATCGGTATGTTTGGCAAAAAATACGGCTAAAATCCTATAATGTGCATGTGTTCGACAAAGATAGAAAATCACGGTATCGAATCCCCTTAATGAACAGTAATTAAGATTTCTCATAAGTTTTCTTTAAAAAATAATAACATTTACATTGGCGTATTATTGTAATTAAATTTAATTTCTCTGATTACATTACGAATTTGCTTCACATTTTAGATTCTGAGCAGAGCGAGGAATGTATTAATAATATTACTATTTTTTTGTTATTCACCATTAAAATACCAAAATCCTATACATTTTAAATGTATTTTGTTTTCATTTGCATTATATTATTATTGAGGTATCCACCTATATTGTTACTTAATTCTAAATTGTATATTCTGAAATTTAATTTGAGATCAAATATTTAAAAACATTAAATATATTATTTCAATTTTGAATTAGTTTTTACCCTTTTACCACATAACCTTGGTAGTTTRTATTTTAAATTATAAAATAAATATTAAGTAATATAACATATTATACTATATACCCCCTAATGGTTTAATTTGTTTTTGAAAAAAATAATGTTTTACTCTGTGCTAAACAATTCATTTTTCCAATAGGTGTTATACATTCAGATCTCAAACCTGCAAATTTTCTTCTGGTTAGTGGTCGTTTAAAATTGATAGATTTTGGTATTGCATCAAAAATTCAAGGAGACATGACAAGTGTATTGAAAGATGTGACTACTGGAACTTGGAATTATATGAGTCCAGAATGTATTAGAAGTGGTGGCTCAAATTTTCAAGGCCATAAAGTGAGCTATTTGTATTGTTTATATTTGATAAAATTACTAATAACATTTTATATTCTATTCAGATAAACCAAAAATCGGATGTGTGGTCACTAGGATGCATATTGTATAGTTTAATTTATGGTAAGACTCCTTATTCACATTTGACAAACACTTGGCAAAAGTTACAAGCCATTGCAGAATCTACACAAAATATTAGTTTTCCGAGTCACAGYAAAACATTTACTCAGGGTATACCACCTGTACTAATGCAAACAATGAAGTTATGTTTAATTAAAGATGTGAAAGCCAGACCTAATGTTGTTGATTTGCTGAAGCTTATTGAAAATACAGTATTCAAACCTATGACTTAAGTACTTTTTTAATATAATATGTACTCTAATRTTGTATTTATAATTTGTTTTGTCATTTCATACATGTTTTTAAAATGTATTTATTACTTTGAGTATTGATAAACATGCAATACTTAAATAAGTTGTGGTGTAATTGTATAAATAATATATATAATTGTTGTATCTTAATGAATGATTGTTTACATTAAACATTTTATACTGTTTTAAATTAAGTTTTTTATTAAATTTTGAAATTAATTTAACAATATTGTATATAACTTGCATATTATTGGTATTATAGTAATAAATTAATAATAAATATAACTAAAATAATTATTATTACACATTTAATAATTTTTCAAATACTTAATTACTTCCATACTGTCAATTTTCCATTTTCAAATATCAAACAATCGACGGGCCATGCTATTGATGATTTATCAAATGGTAATAAATCTTCAAAATCTTTGGCAGAATACTAAAAAGAAGATATTTAATATTATTATATCAACATAAGTAAAACAAGTTTCATAAAAGATATATTAATGGGTAGGTTGTGTTTTATTGTCATTATTTTTAAAATATGTCAACAATTAAGTGATAGAAATTAGATATCGCAAATAGGTGTATGCAATAATAACTATTATTTACCAAGTAAAGACATTTTTAATGGAAAAATATAATTGTATAAATATAATGTGTTAAGAGCATAGACAAGTATAGGTTGAGAGACTTGATACAAAGGTAGATAAATAACAGGAGAAGTGTTAAACTAATGGAAAAAGAAGGATAAGAAAAGAATTCTTAACATTATTAAACTAGTGAACTATTGCATTGTGGAAAGCTGGTTATGATATAAGATAGCAGAAGTGATGAGATTTTAAGAATTAAAATGTTGTAGCCAAGACAAAATGAGAAAAGAAGTAAAATATCAATATATAAATACC